CTTTGTAACAGTAAGTCCCCCTGTCTGTGATAAAGGAAGTTTTCTCTTCATTTATAGGATCCATTTTAATCTGATTATATCCCGAATAGGCATCTAAAAAACTTAATAATTCATGCCCTGCAGTAGCATCAATTAGTTGATCCATGTGCGGTAATGGAAAAGAATCTTTAGGGCAAGCCTTATTTAGATCAGTATAATCTACACAAACTCGCCACTTACCATTCTTTTTGGGCACTACTACAGTATTAGCCAACCAATCTGGATAATTTACCTTGCGGATGGACCCGATTTTAAAAAGTTTTTGCACCTCATCTTGAATCACCTGATTCTTGAAGGAGCCTTGCTTCCTTTTCTGTTGTTTGACAGGTGGGTACGATGGATCTTCATTTAATTTGTGAGTCATTACCTCCGGTGGTATACCTGTCATATCTGAATGAGACCAAGCAAAACAATCTCCGTTAGTCTTTAAAATTTCAATCAACTTACATTTCATCTCTGGGCGAAGGTTGGTTCCAATGTAGACTTTTCTGTCTGGCCAATGTACAAATAGTACCACAGCTTCCAGTTCCTCGATCGTTGTTTTGATATTTTCATTTTCTTTTGGTTCTTGAATAGTATCAGGCCTCGAATCTACATCTGTTTTCCCGTCTTCAGTTGAGGCTCGTGTTGCTGCTTCCTCAACTGAATTCTGTGATTGCTATTTTTTGTCACATTTTGCGCTTGAATCTGCCACAGAGTTAATGCTTCGAGAAGCTTATTGGTCACCACGGATTTGTCGTATTCCCCATTGTGATGGAAAATAACTTGATGTAAAGTAGATGGAACAACGTCCATTTCGTGAATCCATGATCTGTCGAGAATCATATTGTAAGCCATATCCATTTCCACTACCTGAAATTTGGTGTCTTTGACTACTCCTTCAGCGAATGTGGTGAGTATTATCTCCCTTTTTGTTACGACGCTCGAATTGTCAAAACCAGACAAGGTATGCGCATTGGGTATCAATTTATCATTGGCTTGCATCTCGTTTACCACTCTTAACAGAATGATATTTACGGAACTACCTGGGTCAATCAAAACTCGTTTTACATTAGTGTCATGTACAAGTAAAGATATTACCAGTGCATCATTATGCGGGGTTAGCACGCCATCTGCATTTGCATCATCAAATGTGATACTATCTTCTTCCAAAACCTGTCGAACTCGCTTCCCGTGGGTAACTGTAATTTTTGACACTTTCTTTGCTGCCGTGTATGTTATGCCATTGATCTCTTCCCCTCCACTTATGACATTAACCGTCCTTTTTGGTGAAGGAGGCTTTGGCGGTTCCTGCCTACTCTTCATATATGCTTGATTTCCCTTCTCACTAAACAATTCAGTTAAATACCCTTGTTTTAATAAATGTTATACTTCACCTTGTAATAATCTGCAATTCATCGTTTTATGACCGTGATCGTTTGTGAAACTCGCACCAAAAATCGGGATTTTGCTTGTTTGGGTTTGATCTCATTTCCTTTGGCCACCGTACCTTGTCTCCCATGCTTCTTAAAATAGCCATCAACTCGGATGTGCTAACATTAAAACTGTAGCCTCCGATCTTTTCTTTCGAGCTTCTATCATCATCTCGCGTATCTCGCATGTTTCGTTCTTTTCTGAACCTTGATGATGAACCTGACTCTCTATCTCTTGATCTAGGATCATACCTTGGGTTTTCCTGTTTTGAACGCGAATCCCTTCATGCTGGTCCCAGGTAAGGCTCGTACCTATTTTTACCGGACCTTTTTATCAGTTTCAGATATCTTGAACTCACCCTTTCATCTTTCCGAGACTGAATGATAGTATCTTCTTCTATCCGCAGCTTCATGCTGTATCTATTATAAACATCATTCTATGTTGTTGCTGGAAATTCTGGCAAACTTTCTTTGAGTCTCCTCGTGGCTTCCGAGCTTTTTTCATTTAGATTACTGGCAAAGGCCATAGCCGCCCAGTTATCAGGTACACGTGGCAACATCATCCTTTCATGCTGGAATCTGTCTACGAATTCCCTGTGCAGCTCCGTATCTCCTTGTTTTATTTTGAAAATGTCCTCCATTCGTTTTTCAACTTTTTGAGCTCCCGAGTGTGCTTTGATAAATGAATCTGCAAGCTCAGCAAAAGAATCAATAGAATTTTTAGGTAAAAGAGAGTACCATGATAATGCTCCTTTCGTAAGCGTTTCTCCAAATTTTTTGACCAATACTGATTCAATTTCTTGCTTGGTCAAATCGTTGCCCTTTACACCGGTTGTAAATGTAGTTACGTGGTCCCGTGGATCAGTTGTTCCATCGTATTTCAGAATATAGGGCATCTTGAATTTCTTTGGAATCGGTAAAGAAGCGGCACCTGGCTTCCAAGGTTGTTGAGAGTATTTGTCCATATCTATTCCCTTGATTACAGGCGGCACTCCAGGTATCTGCTCTATGCAATCGCTCTGCTCCTTGAGTTGTTTCTGCAAAGTTAGTACTAAACTTTGTAAATCAGAATTAACTGGATTACATGACCCTCCATCACGAGATTCGCTAGGAGTTCCTCCACTGCCTGAGTTAACGAGTCCCGAGCGAGGATTTTTCGCGGTGTTGTTGTTTGGAGTTGGTGTTGGTGGCACAACACCTGGCAGCTGGTTAGCAAAAGCCTGAAGAGCATTACTGACCTGTTGGGCAATTAATTTTTTCAAAGCTTCATCAATAGCTTGATCATTTTCGAACTGCTCATTCATATTTGATTCAGACCCGTCAGGAGTCCCCTCTCGGGATTGTCGAGGAGAATTTTGTTCTGAGGGAACTGGAGTTCTATCATCTTGTTGATTCTCCTGATGTTGCTGATTTTCTTGGTGTTGTAAATTTTATTGGTTGTTGCGTTGGTATTCGACATGATTGTTATGACAAAAGAGTCGGTTTAGAAAGTGAAAGATTATCAGATTCCCGGTAACGGAACCAATTTGTTTGGCCAGAAAATAGGAATGTCAAAGCTTAATTTTAGAAGAACTCGGGTTACTGATAATCAAATAAGGAAATAATTATGTAATGAAAAAGAAGAATTGAATTGAAAAATTAGCTGAGTAAGCGAGATAAAGCAAGGTAAATCAGTATATTCCAATAATAATCCGTGTCCCCATACAAATGTTATTCCTCTCCTTTTATAGCTATTTCTAAGTACTACTTTTTTTCTCTCTCATAATAGAGTTATTATGAGCAATTAATGACATTAATGTAACGTCATAATTGTCAATCGTAAATGTTTCATGAAGATTCTATAACGTTTCCCATCATTGATGCTCATTAATTACAGATAATACATATCTGTACTTTTTGCTAGCTATGTTCATTCCTTTGATATCTCTTCAAATTATCAAGAGATCTGAGTAACCGTTCCTTCTTGTTTTCTTGTACCTATAGCCGTCAATATGGGCTTGGCCCGTTGGGCCGGCCCAGCCCAGCCCGTGATTTAGCAGGGCTAGGCTAGAATATTTGGAGCCCATATGCTTTTAAGCCCGGCCCGAGTAAGCCCGTGGCCCGTGAGGCTTGACTGAGGCTAGGCTGGGCCGGCCCGTGGGCCTAAATATGTATTTAAAATATATAAAATAAAAATTTATATGACAAAAATTAACAAGAAGAGTATCCCAAGCTTAAAGTTTATTAAGCTCATCATATTAAAAGATCAAAGTCTTGAAACGTTAATTAGTTTTAAAATTTTAATTATTCTTATTATTTAACTAATTTATATTGCAAACGAATTGTAAATGTAGATGAAAGTGAAGATGTTAAACAACCTTCTAATATGCGGATTCAAATGCGTTTGATGAAGATCATGTGTTGAATATCCCATAAGCGTCATGACGTTCTCATGAATAGCTTGTTTTGAGTTTTGACTTTTAGTGAATGAAATTGTCTTGTATTTTACTTTTTATTATTTACTGTAATATATTGGAATAATATAAAAAGTTATTAAGTTTTGTGAAATTTTTCCAATAAGATTTTTTTAAGTTTTAAATATTTATCTTTTTTATTTTTGTTAGAACTTAAAGAAAAAAAATATAAAATTATATTTTAAAAAAATAATGGGCCGGCCCGTGGGGGCCCGCAGCCCACCTAGGGTTGGGTGGGCTGACCATTATAAGGCCCATCAAAATAATGGGCTAGCCCAGCCCAACCCGTAAATTGCTAAAGCCCACGTGGGCTGGGCTGGGCTAGCCCGGCCCCGCCCATATTGACAGCTCTACTTGTACCTTTGCCCGTACCTAATAAAGCTCACAACTCTTTGAATACTCTTTGCTAGTTGTCACTCTTTTATTGATCCACGTGTCTTGACATGTCAGCACATCATTAATTCCACATGTTAACTCGATTTTCCCCAATACATCAATTCAATTTAAATTGATTTATTTTAAAAGAAAATTGTATGTATTAAAACTTTTTATAATATCAATCTATAGAAGTTAAACTATATATGAAATAATATCAATTGCGTGTGGCACACCATAAATTCCCTCCGTAAAACCGTAGGTGTTCACTCTAGAAAATAGTCCCAATAAACTAAAATGGAAAGGCGCAAGCAATAATGTTGAGTAGAAATCAAAGGAATCCCATGTTCACGTGCCTTCTGAACTCCACTTGAGCATTTTATAATAAAGGCACTAAGATTCACAGACCATATGAACACTAAAATACTATTCCCTCCTATCTATAACAAGCGATCAATTTGTTTTTGTATTTTTGTCCAAAATAAGTGTTCATTTATATAATCAAAAAAATATTCAATTTGTTTTTATAAAATTATCCTTATATACATATTTCTAAAAAATTTTCTTACTCCTTACATTAAATATTTAATTAAGGCTAGTTTAATCATACTAAGTATTTTTATATAGAATATAATATTTTTTTAACGGCGTACCAAAAGTAAATTGGTCACTTATTGAACATTCACATATTATTAAAAGAAAAAATCACACGCAAATTCAGACAGCAGAACACAAAAGAAAGTAAAACCAAGTAAACAAATTGACTCAGAAATGCAAGTCCACACTTCACATCCCAACTGCCCATTCACATCTCAGATCAAACAAAACATTCACCTATTGTTAAAAGAAAAAATCACCCGCAAATTCAGACACCAGAGAACCTGTCTTCGTTCATAGATCTAAAAACAAATCCTTCATTTAATGTAAACCTCTCTGGGTCGGTTGTAATAGTAGTAAAGCACAAAACTTTCTGCTTTTTTAAGATTTTGCACACTCTTTAAAGTGCATCAGCAGCCAAGAAAATTTTTGCAGGGAGCAAAAAGATGGGGTTCACTATGGGTCTAAACTTGCTTCTGTTAGTAGCAATGGTAGCTACCAACATTCTTTCTTTGTATCACCTCTCTTCCAATCTCCAATCCAAGCCCCCTGTTGCTCCTCCTGTTCCTGACCATCTTCTTCACCAGCTTCAAACCATACGCGCCACCATTAACCACCTCACGCGCCTCCAGCCTCCTGCTCCTCCAGCTGCTGCTACCAAGAAATCTACACTCTCCATCCCTTCTGACCTCCTCCTTTACACCCATCTTTCACCTATAGCTTCTTCTTGTAAAGACCATCCTGATTTGCTTTACCAGTACATGAACTATACACCCTTTAGTCTTTGCCCCTCAGATTCTTCAGTAGCTGAGTCTCTTATACTCAGAGGTTGCCACCCTCTTCCTAGGAGAAGATGTTTTTCAAAAACCCCTTCTAGTATCCCAACTTCACTTCCTAAAACCCCATTTTCTACCCTCCCTGAAAAGGCCTTGTTGTGGAACAGTTACACTTGCAAAAGTTTTACTTGTCTGTCTCAGAAAAATCCCAACTTGGGATTTGATATGAAAGTTGAGGGATCAAGATTCTTGGGTTTTAAATCAGATCTGGATCTCCCAATCCCACAGTTTCTCCAGCTTACTAAGTCCTCAAAAAGTGTGATTAGGCTGGCACTTGATATTGGTGGTGGTACAGGAACTTTTGCAGCACAAATGAAGCTGCAAAATGTTACTGTTGTGACCACAACTATGAATTTGGGTGCCCCTTATAGTGAGGCTGTGGCGCTTAGGGGATTGTTGCCATTACATGTGCCTTTGCAGCAGAGGCTGCCTGTGTTTGATGGGGTTGTGGATCTTGTGAGATGTGGCCATGCTGTGAATAGGTGGATTCCATTGACAATGATGGAGTTCTTGTTCTTTGATGTTGATAGAGTGTTGAGAGGTGGTGGGTATTTATGGTTGGACCATTTCTTTAGTAAAAAGGCGGATCTTGAGAAGGTTTTCCAACCCCTGATTTGGAAATTGAACTACAGGAAGGTGAAGTGGGCTGTAGCAAATAAGAATGATGCCAGTGGTGTGAAGAATGGGGAGGTTTATTTGACAGCTCTTCTTCAGAAGCCTGTTTCAAGATGAGACTCTACTCCAGGTAACCTTTCAGTCTGTCTGAAAATGAGATTAGAGATTGTTTTAATGGCTGGAATTTGAAATATTGCAAGTGATAGATCTAAAGTAATTTAGTATGAATTTTGGTTTTGGCACTTAATTAATGAAAGTACCAAGAATGTGTCATAATTAAAATCTCCTTGCTTGTCACTGAGAAGCTAAGTTATGTCCAAATAATGCTAGTTCAAAGCTTGCTGTTCACCTATGCAGATTTCGAGTAAACATGTTACATTTGTAGAAGTAAACATTCACCAGTGCAGATTTCATATTTGCTAGAAGATATTAATTGTTTTGCTTCGCTCTAACTTACCATTTTCTTTATAAGGATAATTGTAGCTTGAAATTGAAATAGCAGATTTCAAATTTTTCCCTGTCTTGTGGAGCTTTAGTTGATCCAAAGGGAGCATAGATGTATTCTTGATACCTTCTAAGGGTAACCAACTACCTTAAGTTGCCAAATTTTACAGATGTTTTAAGATGAGCCTGCTACGGGGCTGCCTCTCGTCAAACTTGATTACCTGTTGGTTAGAGATCCTTCGATCCACTATATTAGATTCTCAACTATAATATGGCTTAGATCCACATGGCTGTTTCTTACTAGTATCATGTTCAGCTTTATCCACTGAAGAAATGTTTTTGACTCTAGATTTTCAGTAAACATCTTTTTTCAGCAAGAACCGGTATCCTCTCTAGTACATTTCCTATGAACTTGGCCTTAGATGGGGAGACTGGCTGCTAGAAGTGGCATATATCAGGTTTGTACTTTGTCTTTGTCAGAGCTCCCTATTGGTTGAAAATGGTGTAGTGATATCTACGTTTGCGGTTCTTCTGCCAATTTATACTCGTGCCATTTCCAGAACCTGCCTTGTTTACTATTGCACAATTCTTTCAAGATGAGCCTTTTAAATGTGAGTCTGAATAAGAGATCCCTGACTTGTCCTCTGTGTCAGCCCCCTAACTCCAGTAGAGGTTTACGTCATTTGTTGATCCGATTGCACTTTTGGTACCTAATTTATTAGGATCCTGTATTCTTTCTTATACTTTTCTATAAGCATATAATGCCCTAACTTAAAAATGATCCACAAAAACATTACCTCCCCTTAACAATGTAAATTTTGTGTCAGCTAGAAGCCATGTGCCTTAAGCATCATTTTTTCAGACATTTTGAGGGTTCAAAATCTGTTTCATCTATAAATAATTTCTAGAGGTGATAAGATCCAGTAATTAGCTCTAAAATCTACCATTACCTCTTATATACATGCAGTTTTAAATCATCTTAATGTAGAGTAAAGAAAGTAAGCTGACAATTTGTGTGCATGTTAGAGGTAATCAATAGATTTTGGAGTCAATTGATGATTTTATTCCCTCCAAAAATTATTCATACATGAAAATGGACTACGAACCGTCAAAAGGCTGACAAATGTGTCATGTCTGAAGCACTTCACTTTTTCCATCCAAAAATTGAGAGATATTCATTTTTTTTGGAAATTATCTTAAAGTTAGGGTACTGTCTGTAAGTCAAAGAGTATGACAAAAACACGACTTCTATAAAAAAGTATCCAAAGTGTCAGTTGTTATAATTTGTTTTAAGTTTGATTTGTGCACCTTCTAGCTGTTTCTTGGATTGTACAAGCTTATTAGTTTATACATGGTACAACTCGCTGTTGCTTAACATTCAATTAAACACAGTACCACTACCATCTTGCAATCGATGTTTAACATCCAATTAAGTCCTTTGAATTATACAACTCAAACTTATCATTAAGAACCTTAATGAAGGCAGTCCTGAATGATGATTGACAAATTCCACTTATATGACTGCCACGTGGTGCTATGTTTGCTGTCTAGCGTGCACGACAACTGCATGCACTTCATTTGGAAACCTGATAGATAACAACACAGACAATTAACATTGATTTGACTGTTATAAAAGAAGTCATTATTTCCAATAACTTAACGAAAAATGATTCGTGGCTCTAAACTGAGTTGCTACCATATTGGATCATTCCAAAAGCTGCTCAAGGGTTATTATCTCTCTCCATCTCTTTCATATTATTCTTAAATATTAGCTTTTGATTAGGTCATCTTAATTTTAGCAACTTTTAGTTTTGCAGATATCATTGCTAGATATTGATGATTAGTTGATGGAAAATGCTATGTTGTGTCAAGATTTCCCAGGACGGATAATTCAAGATCCTCTTTTTTCTCAAGGTGAAGAAATGTAATTAGTCTGCATTCAGAGTAAGAAAATTTTTAAGGATCTAAAAGATAGAAATCTGTGCACTACATAAATACAATCTGCGGCAAAGAACAGCAGCGGTAATAGACAGCGGTTTTACCAAGGAGCAACAACATTTAGTTACTTCCCTTCATTCATTTGTCAGTTTTCTGTAACCTTAACTGGTTTTGAAACAGCTTGAAGTTTCAAAATGATTATTGGAACTGTAAAGATATTGCAGGAATGTGAAAATTAAAGAACTGCAATCCCATTCTGTCATCTAAAGATTGATGCTAGTATGACAATTGGATTGCTGAGGTCTTTGCTTCTTTCATTACTTCAACTATTAATTAATGGATTTCCTGGCTTTTCTGCTTTAGTATCCAAATCTTAACTTTGTTTTTTGTACAGTCTAATAAAGTAAAGAAATATTGCACTTCACAATCACAATTTAAAGTCATTGTATATTTCCTCTTTGATTGCACTTGCAAAGCCATGGTTTTTCTTTTTTATATTATTGTTAAAAGTCTTTGGTAGATATGACACAGAAGAACAAACTAGAAAGTTGCCCTCCAAATATGTTGAGAACTAACTGAAAAGGTATATTGCAAACAGATCTTCAACAAGAAAAGGCAGAGATTGCCTTGAAGACCAAAGAATTAACTTCTAGGAAAATTCTGATGCATTTTTCACAGACCATCATCAACAATATTTGAGCAATTCAAATACTGCTGGAAGACTGCTAGGTACTTTTAAAAGGTTGGCAAGTCCTGGTGATCACCATAAGCATATTATTGTTATCACTAGAAATTTTTACCAGAAATCCTGGTGGTTTCACCTTAAGAACCTGGAGATCACTAGGAGCATACTTCTAAATTCTGAAGCCGAGGGCTATTTTCCCAAAAACTTTTCTTAATGAGGTTAAAATTTAAAGGTGGCACTGAAAGATCCTATTTGTGTGAACCACCCTCTCTCCCTCGTAAAAATAGCACGGGCTAGCCAGTTTTCGGACTGGTCATTTAAAAATAGCCAGCATTTGCAAAGTCATTGAAAAATAACCACTATTTTGCTGTAACAGAGACCGGTCTAGCACAATATACTGGAGATCGGTGCACCTGTGTATGAACTTCCAGCATATTATGCTGGAACTCCAACACGCGGAAAGTTCCAGCATAATATACTGGAGATTGGAGCACCTGTGTATGAACTTCCAGCATATTATACTGGACCGGTATATTATACTGGAACTCCATTATAATATGCTGGAGTTCCAGTATACTTATGCTGGAACTCCAGTATATTATGCTGGAGTATTTTTCGGGTTTTGAACAGTGTTTTCGTTCAGATTTATCTTTACATGAAAAGTGGCTAAATTTCGATTACTTTTTAAACTGTGGCTATTTTTGACTGATCACTTGTAAATCTGGCAATTTTTGAATTTCTCCCCTCTCCCTCTTACCGGGCTCATAATGAAGTATACAAGGCCCACCAACCTAAAAATTAAAATCACAAAAAGATCCAAAAGGAAAGGCACAGGGGCAAGTACACATATAGCCATTTTCAGGCATGCTTTTTAGAGATTAGCCACTACTTATTTTGTCCTGAAATTTTAAATTAAAAATCTTAACTTTAAGATAATTCAGGTCATTTTTGTCCAAACAATTTGCACTGAAAAACTGAAATTTAGGACGCAATGGCTAATTCTTAAATAGCAGCCCTTTAGAGTGGCTATTTGGTGTCATTCCTACAAAGGCACAAGTGATCTTCCTAATAAAAAAGAAACAGAAAAGAAATAAAAGGATCTTCGTAACTATATCTTCTATTACTGAAATGAAATGAAAGGATAGGAAAGTTACAAGTATAGGCACTTTTGGACAGCCTCTCACTCATTGCAATGGAGAGCGCTCTTGTATCTGCTTCCTCCTTCATCACTCTACCCAAGGCAAATCAAAGAGAAGTAGTAGGCGGACCTGCACTGAAGAAATTCCAGAGCTCATTTTATGGCAAAGAGATAAATAATAGCCATATTGCTCTTCTGACCTACAGAAACTTCAAAAGAACCCGTCACACTGCGATCACCTCATTGTTTGGGAGGAAAATTAAGAAAAAGGAAATTACTACTGTTGTTCCTGACCCCGATTACCGTATTCCAATTGTCCTTTTAGGAGCATCTGGTGGTTTATTTTATACAGAAAATCTAGCAGCAGCTGTTCCTATTGGTCTTCTTGGATTACTCCTATTATTCCAGACAACAAGAGTTAGATTTGTGTTTGATGATGAAGCTCTTGAGGTCAAAGTTGGGGAGCAACTCAAGGAGTCAGGCGAAAATGTTTTTGTGGGTGGAAAAAACCGATGGAAATATTCAACATTTGTGAACTGGGAATTATGGTGGCCTAATTTTCCCATTTTGGTTTATTTTAAAGAGAAACAGACTAAACCTGAGGGACAAATCCATTTTTTTCCTGTTATTTTTAATGGGAAGCAATTGTATGATGTTATGGTGGAGAGATGTGGCCCTTCCAAAACTAGCGGACCAAAGTAGCCATAAGATCAGATTTTGAGGCAAAGGTATGAAAGTTCTAGAGGTTAATTAAGGAAACTTGTCAGTTTCGTTACAAAAATATGTTTTAATTCAATCAATTAATACTATATATATTCGCTTTCGTATTGTTCTAGGCATCTGTAAAATCATACTAATATGTTTGTTTTTTGTAATTTATATCTGTCTTCCAGTTGAGTTGCATTTCTGCAATAAGTTGTTTTTACGGCTCGATCAAACCTATCTTCTAGTCATATGACAACAAGTTTACCAGTTACGTTAAGGCTCATGATACTTTTTATTATAGTAAGCAAGGTTTTTCATTAATAAGTCGAATTCCGAGCACTAAGTGATGGTTCCTGCAAAGGCAGCCTTAATCTATGAAATGAATGGTTTTACCATATGTACTCATCATTATAAAAATGTAATTTACACCCCAGGGATAATAAACTAAGACACTTGAACATCAAGAGTGTACAACAGTAGACTTTTGTTCAAAAATATATAAAATTTCTTCAACTCTTGCAATGCAGACGGGTAGTCTTCCAAATCCTCTTCAGTTCCTTCATGAACTTGTATCCCTCACAGTAGCAACCCAACTCAGATTTGAACATCTTTTTAATAGTTCTCACAACTAATTTGCAACTGTACAATGAAAATCTTGATCTTTTAGCCCAGTTGACACGACAATATTTGCAAGAAAGAGTGTGTGCGCGCGCTCGTGTAACACGAGACTTTTCTTTTGTTTCTATACAAAGGTTAGGATGCTAAAATTGTCTGTGTCTATACAAATATACTAGTGCATATAAAACGTTTCTATTTAAACATTATGTTTTATATATGTATATAAAGTTAATATAGAAGAAAGGTGTATGGCTTTCCTAGAGGGGCCTGAACTGGGAAAAGATTCATAGAAAAGATGCATATGTCAAGGCGCGAAGTTCAACAGAAGAAAGCTAGTTATGCTTGGCCAAGATTATTCTATTTGAGAAAGGAGAGAGGAGACAAACAGAAGATGCTCTGAAGGTAGCAAAACTTCAGTTTGATCTTTCTCTCTACCTTTTTGGTGTAAATTTTATATAGAATGTAAAATAGTATGGTTCAAATGCTAGGTTCCATTTTACATTTCCCATATGTCTTCCATTTATTTCCACAAAATTGAAATGGTATGTATGCTCTGATAATTGATCTGTAACAAATAGTACTGATCAATGACTTGTGATGTATTAGACCACTTCTAACACCTGCAAGTTTATTGCTTTGACCACTTCTTTAGCTAGTAGTTAGGATCTCCTTATTCAAGGAGTTTGTTCAGTTTGTTCAGCAAGTAGTTTAGTCCCCCTCTTCCAGCGGAGTTAGTTTAGGAAATTGGTTTTTCACTCTTATAGTTAAAGACTGCTTTGATTCAATAAACATATCAACTTTTTGTGCTTCTCTTGTTCTTATATGGTATCAAGAGCCACAACAAACTCTAACGAGTAAGATCCTATCTTTTTTCTCTCCCACCAATCCTCCATAAATGGCCAACACTATTGGAGTTGTTAATGCTGATAACAATAATGGTGCGATGGTCGTCCAATTTAATCCTGGGTCACAATTGCCAATAAAATTACAAGGCAGCAACAACTTTGCAACTTAGGAGGCGCAATTTTCCATGCTTATCATGGTCATGATCTTTATGGTCATCTAGATGAGTCTACTCCTGCTCCATCTCGCGCTATCACAACTGGTACAATCCTTAGTGCCAATCCTGCATTTGCTCTTTGGTTTCGTCAAGACCAACTCATTCGAAACGCACTTATAGAATCTGTTGATCTAAAATTGCCACTACTTGCTGATTCAACAAAAAAAGCTCGGGATGCATTGCACACTGCATATGCGAACAAGTCCCAAACCAGAATTTTCAGTCTTCGTGATTGACTCGCGAGACTCATAAAAGACTCCCAACCAATCAATGAATATTTGCAAAATATTCGATCCATGGCTGACAAACTCTCTGCTGCTAGTGCCCTAGTCACAAACTCTGAACTCATTGTTAAGATCCTGAATGGTCTAGGACCAGAGTTTTGTGAGATTCCTGTTGCAATTTGTGCTGTGACTCCACTATTACGTATGAAGAACTCTATGAGAAGCTTCTTGATCATGAGCTTTTCCTTAGTCACGAAGAGTCAAAGAAAGCTCCTAGCCAGATTACTGCTGCTACCAGTGGCGAAGCCACATGGTTATAAGGGTGGTCAACTGACCACCCTTCGTCGAAAAATTGCACTGTATAGGTAGAATATTACGTTTTAGAGGTATATAACACATATTGAACACCCTTTGTCGTAAAAAATTTTTACTTTTTTAAGATTTGAACACCTTTGGAGAAATTTCAAGCTTTGCTACTGGCTGCTGCTACAGTATTCAACAAATCTAGAAACTTGAACAATCGCAACAATCGTCGTTCCAGCAATAACAATGGCAACAACCAACAATGGCGATACAACAATCGCTTTAATTCACAAAATCAGTTGCAATCCTCGAACACCAACAACTCTTATGCTGGTGTTTGCTGCCAGTTGTGCAACAAACTAGGCCATGTTGCAAGTGTATACAGATCCAAATCTCACAATCATTTTGAGGCCAAAGCCAACTATGCTTCGGGAAGGCATGCATCAGCAAATCCTTGGACTCTCGACTCTAGAGCATCTGACCACATAACTGATAATCCTCACAACTTGCAGGAATACAACGACATGGAGTAGGTTTTCATGGGTGATGGTAACAAAATACCAATTACTCACAATGGTTTAACTCAATTACATGCATCATATAATGCTTTTAAACTCTGTAACACTCTCTGTGCTCCTAGCATTAAACTCAACTTACTCCCCGTCTCTAAACTTTGTCAAGATAACCTAACCTCTATTGAATACTTTCCTTTTCATTTTGCTATAAAGGACCTAGAAACGAGGAATCCGTTGGTGCATGGTCGGAGTAGAGACGGTCTCTATGAGTGGTCAACCTCACCTTCCGTATCTTCTCCTACAGCGTATTTGGCCTCCACCAACACATCCATCTTCACCTGGCATCGTCTATTGGGTCATCCACACATAAGAGTTTAAATTTTGTTTTGAATAAATTCTCGCTACCTTGTTCGCGAGACAAATTTTTAATTTGTAATTCTTGTTCATCAAATAAGGCACGTCGTCTTCCTTTTCAGCATCTTACTTTATCAAGTACCAAATCATTTCAAACAATATTTAGTGATTTATGGGGTCCTTCTTCGATTTTATCGATTGACAAAAAATCATATTACTACATTTTTGTTGATCAATACACCAATTATAATTGGCTATATACATTAAAAAATAAAAGTGAGGTTAAAGACCTTTTTCAAAAATTATCAAGCATTAATGGAACGTCGTTTCAATACAAAAATTCTTTCTATCTATACAGATGGTGGTGGCGAATATAAAAGTCTTGATCCAAACCTAAGTTCTCAGGGTATTGAACATCTTTTATCTCCCCTATACACCCCCCAAAGAGTTGCTCTTGCCGAAAGATGTCACAAACATATTATTGAAACGAGAATAACTTTACTTCATGAAGCTTCGCTTCCACCGACTCTTTGGTATTTTTCATGTCAGCATGCGGTTTATCTTATAAATCGTTTGTCAACCTCACTTTTTATATATATAAAAAATAACCTTTTCAAATATTTTTTGGTAACGATCTAGTTTATAATTCTTTAAAAATTTTCGGGTGTCTATGTTGTCCCTGGCTCAAACCGTATTCAAAAAATAAATTAGTGTCACGGTCAACACCTTGTGTTTTATTTAGGTTACTCTTTAAATCATTATTGTCATCAATGTTTTGATCCGAAATCTTTCAAAATATATTTATCTCGAGATGTAAAAAAATTTGAAAATAATTTTCTTTTCAAAATATATTTTCAAATGTTTCCTTAAAGTTTAAAACCCTTGCGCCGGAAAACCTAACTAAAACTAACCCAACAAAATCTCCTACTTTTTCTCCTCCCATAACCAATGAATTACCCAACCCTATACTTATCCTAAATACAGATAAAACCAACGCTCACAAAGACACTGTCTCCTCTACCTACGCCCCTAACAGAATCTGCAACTACAGGTACGTCTTCTACTTCTCCTCCTACAAATTATGTTGTTCCTCCTGATCTTAATGATATCCAATCTTATCCCTCTTTGCCATCTTCAATTGTTATCCCAAGAAATTCAAATGTCTTCTCTCCTCCCCAATCACTACGTATCTTATCACCACTTCCTTCCTCAACACATATATATTCTCAACAACCATTCACCTCAGTCCCACAACCTCAATCACCATTTTTTCCAATTGTATATGGTCGCAGAATGACAAAAATGACATCTACTGGCCAAATCTCTATTGTTTGTACCACTGCCTCAACTCCGCAACACCCACAACCTTCCCCCCCAAACCTCTTCCAGTCACAGAACCACAACAACCTTCTCTCCCTCATCCAAATCATGTTGTGACTCCTTCACAGAATAATATTCACAAACCAAATCTATCCCGACACTTTAGTCACACATACATTGGCACATAACTCACTCAGGACCAGATCTATCTCGACACTTTAGTCAAAGTAGTTAAGCAAGGTCAAAATCAAACAATTTAAGGAACTACAATACATGAGTCAAGAACTGAGCCTAGGAGACACAACTAAAGCACTCACTATTCTCAAGGCACAACAAAGTTAAGAGCAGTTATCTCCATTTAATACCATAGCATAGGAGCTCTCTATTCCTAACAAAATAAAAACTAACTACACCCAGTTCAAGCAAAAACTCCTGGAAAAGAACCGCGACACAAAGAAAAACCAAGGAGAAATTGTTACATTACCTAAGAAAATAAAACAAAAGTAAAAGACACCTTTTTTTCTTCTTCAACTTTAATCCCTTAAGAAGACAGTCGGGGAAATCCATTGTCGAGAAAGTCAATTTTTTTTCCAAAAGAAAGGAAAACAAATACACATGTACATATTTACATCATCCCCCACCCCAAACTTTAAATTGTGGCATGTTCCTATGACACGCAAATAAAAAGCAAGAGGTAAAGAAAACTTCCCTGATTCATCTAGTCGGGGTCTGAATCGAAGTCGGGATCACCTTTGCACGCCTGACCCAGTTTACACATCCATGATGAGAGCTTTTTTTTGTCCTTCTTTGGGTACACCACACACTTATCAGTTTTACTCTCTTTAGTTTGCTCCTTTAAAGCCCAATATTGCTCCTTCCATCTTGAAGATCACCCTTTCTTCCCCCACTCTGAGCATGAGCTGACTTCCTGAATGTCCAGAATTGCTATGCCAGTAGCCAAGAAGGGTCTTCCTAAAATCAGAGGGACCTTCACATTTTCTTCCATGTTCAACACAATGAAGTCGACAAGGAACACAAATTTTTCCACCCGAACTAGCATATCTTCCACCATTCCTTCAAGTATGATTGTGGTTTGATACGCAAGCTGCAAGGACACATGTATCAACCTGAATTCTCCAATCTCTCCCTCTAATTATCTGAAAATAGACAAAGGCATAAGATTAATAGAAGCACCGGAATCACACAAAGATTTTTTAAATTTAGTACTTCCTAAAGAGCAAGGTATAGAAAAACTCCCTTGATCTCCACACTTTTGAGGGAACTTTTTTTGCATAATAGCACTACAATGCTCTGTGACTTTGACAACCGATGTCTCTTTCACTTTCCGCTTTTTGGATAATATCTCCTTCAAAAATGTAGCATAAGCTGGCATATGTGATAGCACCTCTGTGAAAGATATACGCCCAAATTGTTTGTCCAGCTTATCTCTTCTCTGCTTCTGCGAGAAAGGTATAGCAGGCATATATTTACTTTCTTCAGTCTCCTCATTTATTGCATTCACATCTTTCTTCTTCTTCTGGCTCTAGTCTTCCCCTTCTTCTTCAGACCAGCATCTACCATCCATGCACCTTCTTGAATGTTGTCATTTTTCTGCTCCTCCTCAATCTCCACATGTCTTTCAATCAGCTCATCCTTTTGTTTTGCCCTGGGATCCTCCAACACGTGCCCACTCCTCAAAGACACTGCATTTATTGTCTCTTTTGGATTTCTTTCAGTATCAACAGGGAGAGTTCCTGGAATCCTCTCAGACAATAGATTAGCTAGTTGCCCAACCTGTCTTTCCAAGTTTCAAAACGCCGTGCCTAGTTCTCTGATAGTTGCGCCATGGGTTTCAAGCCTCTCATCTGTCTTAATAATAAAGGTCCTCATCATATCTTCCATGCTAGACTGATTAGACTGTGGAGGATGATATTGCTGCCTCTACTGATTTTGAAAACTTGTAGCTCCCTGCCCCTGGGGTCTGGAGTTATTTTGCTGCCATGCGTTTGTATTACCACCTGGTGAACTCCAAGAAAAACCTAGGTGCCTCTGCCCCAAATTGTTAAAATTGTTGCCACTTTAGCAATTGCCTCTGTCAACGCTCCCCACAACATTTACTACTTCAGCTGAAGCTTGACACTCGTGTGTAGGGTGTCCTATTCCACAAAATTCACATGTTGTTTCCGGCTCACTCTGTACCTTGGCCAATGTTAACTTTCTTATCTATCTGGCCATGGTGTCTAGATGAGCTTGCATTGATGTGTTAGAGTCCACTTGGTGCACCCACCTGATTTTCTTCTATGGTTATCATCTGCAGGCCATTGATTTGTATCTTTAGATAATTCATTCAGGATTACAACAATCTCCGCAAGAGTTTTCTTCATAAGAGGACCTCCAACTACGTTGTTTAGAGTCCTTCTGCTAGAGGGTGTCAGACCATCCCAAAAATCTTGGAATTGCATCCACAAGTCTACTCCATGACGCTGACATCTTCTCACAATTTCCTTAAATCTTTCTCATGCTTCAAACACCATTTCTGTCTCTTTCTACTTGAAGTTGTGGATCTCTCTTCAAATTTTCCCTGTTTTTGCAGCTGAAAAATATTTTTCAAGGAACTTTCTTGTCATGTCTTCCCAAGTTTGAATTGACCCAGTCGGCAAACTCCGCAACCAGTGCTTAGCATCTTCCCTCGGTGAAAAAGGAAATGTCCTTAAGTAGATAGCATCTTTCGATACTGTGTTGTGCTGGAAGGTATTCATAATCTCATCAAAATCCATCAAATGAGTATTTGGATCTTCATTAGGTATGCCACTGAAGACACAATTGGTCTGAATGGTCTGAAGTAGCCCTTGCTTGATCTCAAAATTATTGGTTGCGACCGGAGGGGGTCGCACACTAGATACTCCGTGGTTGTAGACTGGCCTGGCATAGTCTCCCAGTGATCGTCCAGACTTGGGCATATTATTTTCAAATTCGTCTTCAACCAGAGGTCGGTTCAAGTTGAATATTAATCCTCCATTCCCATGCGGCTGCTTCCCGTGCAGCCAAATCAACTATCTCCTCACTGTTCTTAGTCATGTTCTCTTGGTTTGATTTCCCCAAGAATTTTTCGGTGAGTTCTTTCTCTTTCCTCAACTGTCGCAGACGCTTTTCCACCTCTGGATCGTATGGAATCACTTCCTTAGAAGAAGAACGAGTCATACACCAAAGAGCTTAACTTATTGCCTACACACGAAAGAGAAAACCCGTGAAGAATAAAATAAAATTGGTTCCTGAATTAGTACCAGCAACTAATTTGAACACTATTGCTTGCCAATCTCCGGCAACGACGCCAAAATTTGACG